CAGGGTTTCAGAGATGCTCCTCGTGGTTGTGGGCATTTTTGTGCCTTTCTCCGGTCAGCTCTGAAGAAGCTGAAGGTCAGGCTGGGGGGTGAGGCCCCTCTGGATGGTTTGGCACCCAGTTTTACCAGTTTGGACCCAGCAAGCGGGGTTCATCTTGCCCAATTTCAGATATTTGCAACTGGGCTGATGGTTCAGGAGCATTGCATTGCCAGTGGGAGTGGAGGAGGACTCGGCTGGGTGATGCGTTTCACCCCGGTGTAGAGGCATTTGCAATGGAGACTCCACTTAATGCGCGTGTGTGCAGCTGAAATCGGGGGACAATTGCACTCAACTAAACCCATTCAGCCTCTGCTTCCTGGTGGATATTTTTAGGAATAATCCCAAGTTTTCTGGGAATAAAGCATTGCCAAATATTTCTCTACCGAGACTGCGTTGTGGCACTGAAATCTGAATTATCGCAAGGGTTTGTGCTCCAGGAGCAAACCCTGACCCAGCCACCAGGAAAAGCAGATGGAGATCCTGATGGAGGTGAGGAGAAAAGGGTGAGGTGTGGGGATGGACGGGGTTTTGGAGACCCCCAGCATGGATGGGAGCCGGAGCTGTGGCCCGGGTGCAGCCCTGAAAGAGAAATACGCAAGGTAAAAGCGCTTGTCACAGCGAATAAAGCCTGAAATCCGTCTTCAGGAAGGGGTTTTGATTCTCCTTGGCGTTTCGGAGGCTGCTGCTGCAGCGCGGGGCTGGCGCAGAGCGAGGCCCTGCAGCTTTCCCCTGCCTCGGGCCTGCGCTGGGGGCGTCCTCAGAGGACCCGCACGGGGCTGACCCCGAGAGCCTGGGGCTCTGCCCCCGTGCATGGGGTGGCAGCTTTGGACCTGCGCTGTCAGCACCAATGCAGACTTTGAGTTCAAAAAGAAACCAAATAAACCTAAAAGCAAGCAAAAACCTGTACTGGGATATTGTTTAAATATCAAATCCCCCCAAAATCCTCATGGTTTTCTGAAATTTTGCAGCCCTGCGTCAAGGCGATCTCCCTCCGAGCAGCCCCGTGTACCAGGAGGCTTTGTTTGCTCTCGGTGATGGATGCTCCTTCCCTTTTCCTCCGCGTGTCTGTGCTTGATGCAGCAAAGAAATGGCTTTTGCCTGGTTTGGGGACAGAGCCGAGACCCCCAGCACCCGGCATGGAGGGGTCAGGAAGGACGGGGCTGGTGGTGAGGAGCAGGCAAAACCAAAGCGGTTTCAGGTCTGGTTTAAGCAGGTGTGTTTAATTATCTGGTTTGGTGCAGGTTATATTTGGTGGTAGGAGATGAAATCCAGAGGGGTTTAGAGACCGTCTCGCTGCGCGGAGGCTCACACACAATAGACCGCAGTGATTTATTCGGAGCTGCTATGCTTTGTCTCTCCCTGTTAAGTACCCAGAGAGTACAGACTGGCACTGAGGGAATTGAATGTGACACATCAAAATAAGGAGTGTTGGGAAAGCTGCGGGCTTTGCAGTGTTTGACGAGCTTCTATCCTTGCTCAATAGCGAGCAGTTTTCCTTCCATGTGAGATGTGAAAAGTGGGAGCGCACCCCTTGCCTTGCCTTGGGCCTGGGGGGTGTGAGCTGCCGCCCCGAGCTGCTGCAGCGTGGCTGTGCTGAAGGAGATGAGCACCAGAGAGGCCAAACAACGTTGGGTATTAAACATGAGTCGAACTGTGAACAGAACCAGCGAGCTTGTTTCATCTTTATCCCCCTGTACTCGGCACTGGTGAGGCCACACCTCGAGTGCTGTGTTCAGTTCTGGGCCCCTCACTAGAAGAAGGATGTTGAGATTCTGGAGCGTGTTCAGAGCAGAGCCACAAGGATGGGGAGGGCTCTGGAGAACAAGCCTGATGAGGAGCGGCTGAGGGAACTGGGCTTGTTTAGCCTGGAGAAGAGAAGGCTGAGGGGAGACCTCAGCACCACCTCCAACTGCCTCAAGGGAGCTTGGAGAGAGGTGGGTGCTGGGCTCTTCTCCCAGGTGATGGGGGATAGAACAAGGGGAAACGGCACCAAGCTGTGCCAAGGGAGGTTCAGGTCAGAGATAAGGAGGAAGTTCTTTCCTGAGAGGGTCGTCAGAAGCTGGCACAGGCTGCCCAGGGAGGTGGTGGAGTCACCATCCCTGGCTGTGTTTAAAGAGCGGGTAGACGAGGTACTTAGGGATATGGTTTAGGGGGTAGACAGGAACGGTTGGACGTGATGATCTCAGAGGGCTTTTCCAACCAAGCAATTCTGTGATTCTGTGATCTTTACACCTGAAAATCACACGTCGCCATCGTCACAGCTCGTGTGGCTGCAAACCGCCCCTGCTCGGTGCGTGCAGGGGTTGCCATGAGCCCTCGCTGCGTCCTCATCCAGCCCCCGCTGCAGCTCACACCCGGCTCTTTGGAGGAGAATGAAACAGCAGAACACTGAGATGGATGGGTTTGGGGGTGCAGAGTGGGCTGAGGAGTGAGGATCTGTGGTTTTGGGGTACCCGAGGTGTGACATTAACCTGCAGCAGGGACTTCCATGAGCCAGCCCCGTCTGTGTGCCCCAGCAGGGCAGTCACGCTTTGCTCTCCAGGCCTGCAGCAGAAATGCTATCACTTGCTGTGGCCCTCTCATGTCCACTTTAAAAAGCCCTTTAAGAGCCATCTCCCTGTAGGAGATGAACTCCTCATGCATCTGCTGCCTCTCCAGGACCTTTGGCAACCCCAGCCGCAGAGCAGCAGCGCTCGTGCCAGGTAAGGTGCGTGTCAGGGGAGTTAAAGCTGCCTTTAATCCTCCCCTTCTTCCCCTCAGCCGAGCGCTCGATCTCC